ACTTGTCTAAGGTCATGGACACAGCTAGACACAGATCTGGACAGAAACAGTCTAGCTCCAGAGTCAATAGTATGAATTGTCTCCCCTAACTGGCTGAAGCCCCAGGACTCAGAGGGCTGTGTTTCTGTGCAGATGCCAGCCCAGCAGCCAGGGAAGTAAGGAAGACAGCACTGCATCTGCTCCAACACATGACCACTGGAAGATGCTCCATTTTCTAAAAAGCTAGCAGAAATCTAGGGTTTTTTTGTTTCTTTGTTTGTTTGGTTGGTTGTTTTTTTTTTTTTTCAAAATTTTTCTAATTCTGTATGTTAGAAACTAGTCAAAAACTGAAAACACTTTATGAACAATAATAACAACAATAAAATGTCTATCCACCATATCTGAGCCAAATGTTTGGTGTGTACCTTGATACAAATCCTAGGTCACAGGTCCATAGAGGATGCCCAGTTTGCTGCCACTGTTGCTCAGTTAGGAAGTCTCCCAAACCCAGGCCCACATCTGTCTTTGCCATATAGTTTTATTTCTTCACCTCACTCCCACTCACGCTTGGTCTTTTTCTGCTGGACCCTTCACTGTTCCCAGAGTAGTTCCTACAAACTCTCCTTTCTGTCTGGAACGCTCTTCTGCTTGCGTCTGTACTCGGCCCTGGAGGACGGGCCACAGGATGGAGACTCGAAGGGGAAACATCAGCAGGTAAAGAAAGTCCGGGCAGGATAATCCTCTCCAGAAGGATTAGCATGAAGAGACACACAGAAATCGGAAAGTAAAAGACATGTTGAAAAGCTCTCAACAGTTCCAAATATTTGCAAAGGGCCCCTGGTCCCTGGAATCTGGTACTATAAAGAGATTGCTGACATTCTCGACATACACAAATCTTCTAAAAGGGTCCTTTGCAGAGGGATCGCTGATGATTTAGGGTTTGTTGAAATAGTTCCGATAAATATTTATGTACAGTCATAAGCAAATCCACAAGGAAAAATATAATGCAAAACAGATTTCTCCTTGAAGCTCTTTCAGCTGCTGATAAGATTCCTAGCCTCAAAGGTTTTGGAAATAAATGTGACCAATTAACAGTGTAAACATCTCAGGAGTCTAAGAAGACCCTAATGACAAGGCTCTGAAGGTTATGTGTGGGCATGTGGCATGTTGCTAGCCAAGTCCTAGCCCTAATGACAGGAGTGAGTCCAGGGCCTGAAGTCAACCTGGGATTTACCCCTGAGATCAGAACCAGACACAAATGAAGTTTGGCATTCAGGTTAAAGTAGAGAGTAAACATCTGTAATAGATCCTAAAGTTTTGGAAATCTCAACATTTATCTTGGACTATAATTCTAGAGGTGAACCAGAGGGGTCTTGTCCTTCCTACATCAGCTTTAAATGTGAGTATTACTACCACAACTGCTAATACTTCTGTCACCATGACCAACAACTCAACAGCCCTCATCTCTGTGCCTAGCACCGTCCTTGCCCCTTCGTGGAGATTTTCTCTAGCTATTCCAACTGCCTTCCATTCGGCAGTCTAGGATTCTAAAGTTCAGAGAATGGAAGGAACACAGCAACTGTATTAAAGTGTCTAAGTGGCTGAACTAAGATCTGAACCCACGGTTGCTCTCAAAAGTCATTCTTGTTCCAAACTCAAAGAAGGTAACATGCAGGGCTGGAGGGATGGAACAGTGATTAAGAACACTAGCTGTTCTTCCAAAGGTCCTGAGTTCAATTCCCAACAACCATATAGTGGCTCACAACCATCTGTAAAGGAATCTGATGCCCTCTTCTGGTGTGCATGAAGACACTCAAACACATAAAATAAGTACATTAATTTAAAAAAAAAAAAGGTACATGTAGACAGTGTCTACCGTATCATAGGAAACTACTATTTCTTCTTCCTTTCTCCCCCATGTTACCATTTTCCCTCTTCTCTGTAGGTGAATATACCAGCTAGGCCACTGTGTTGGGAAATACGCTGGAGGATTTATTCTCTTCAGTCCTCGGCACTGCCACAGATTCCCAGAATGGACTCTCCACACGGAGTATTTATCGAATGATGAGGCAATCTGTACTTCATGGGCCACGTGAAAATCTGGCCCACAGTTGGCCCTCATGACTACAAGGCTGCTTCTCTGGCTCGTTAATCCTGAGGTCATCCCAGTTGGCTCCCAGCCCCAGAGCTACAAGGGTGACACCCAGAAGAAACATGTGCCCATCTTCCCTCTTCCCCTCTTGTGAGGTGCCAGCTCTCCTCTAGCTGCCTGAATCACAGAGGTTCCAGTCACGCTCAAGTGTCCACACTGAGGCAGCTTCTCTGGGGCATATTAGAGCTGCCATGCAGAACCAGCTGCATCCTCCCTCCACATCTGAGCCCTCGCCTCCTTCCTATGGGTCCCTCTTACATGGCTAGCTGTGGTAGGAAATGGCACATAAAAGCCTCAGAGTTTTGCCATAGACAGGTCAGATTAAATCAAGAGATACTTCCCAGCATTATGATGAGAGGGTCCCTACCATGTGAGCAAGGCTCACAATCCAGAGATACTTTTAATTTTCTCATTCACTGTACACCATCACTGGTTCACACAGAAAACGGAGCCAAGATGCCACACTGCACGTACTAACTCCCTCTTTCAGGCAAGTCTGCCTTCTCTCCTGCTAAACTGACCCACATCATCACACAGGGTGGGAGCACCTCTCCCTTGCGGCTGTAGACTAGCAACTGGGTGCTGGAATGTGCACTGTCAACCCAAGAGTGACAGTTTTATGCCGATCGTGATGATTCCCTCACTGGTAGTGATTTAAGCCATGACAAGTAAAGACACAATGTATCCACAGAAAAAGCCCTGGAGGAATCTTCTGGCATCTGGATCCTCCCGAGGCAGTAAAATTTACCAGCTGAAAGTGTGGATGCTGGAGTAGATAGCCTTGTTCAAACTCTGACTGTTATAAGTAACACTGCCTGTAATTTATAATCTCTAAATGTTGGAAATGCTAAAGTGTGCTGTTCTTCTATTCCTTGAGCAGGTTACTGTCTGCAAACCATCTAGAGAGGTAGATATTAACAATAAGTATTCGCTATTGCTGCTACTGGAGACAGAGGTTCTAGACTCAGACCTCAGACCCGCCCCTTAGCTCTGCACGGCACTGGACAACTCACATCAGCTGATGGAGGGCAGACGATAGGAAATCTGACAAAGCTAACCTAGAAATTCATTTTCCTTTCTCTTCATTAATTAACCACTTCTGCTTAATTTTTATAGTGCCAGAAAACAAACCCAGACCTGATGTGTACTAGCCCAGCACACTTATACATCTGCAACACTGGTCTGCCTTTGAGAGCCTGACCCTAGCTGTCACCAGGGCTCAGCTTCTGTTACCAGGGCGATACAGAAGAGAAAGACTCAGTGTTGAGCATTGGATGGGGGCTAGAGAGATGGCCTCACATTTCCCTGCCGTCATCACCCTCTGCACGGTTTCTCAGCATGTCTGGCTCTTCTTCTCCTCCTGCCTCTCTTTCCTTCTTTCCTCATCAAAGAGAACTGCATATTGACTTTTTTTTTTTCAGACCAAAACTTCAGTTTGTTTTATCAACTTTAATTTTTTCTTTAAAAAGCTTCATTTTATTTGTTATTTTTTTTTTGTTTGGTTGGTTTTTTTGTTTTTTGTTTTTTGTTTGTTTTCCTTTTTAATTGTGCTGTCCTGCCTTTAGCTGTTTCTTCTTCCTGGTGACCTATGTAACGCAGCCTGGGAGCTTCACCTGAGGGAGGAATATTAGAAGTCTGCCCTGAAGAGTAGGTCTGAGTGATCCTGAGGTCTCTAGGGCTCACAGCTGTTTCACAGCTGTGCTGAGCTGGCCTGAGTCCATTTAGCCAGAGTCACAATCCCTTCAGAGCTGATTAACGCAGATGTCCACTGAAATAGTACTCTTGGCGATGGCCGGGCCCTGCTGCAGTCTTTCTGAGTTATGTTTGACAATGCGTGGGTAGCAGAAAGTTACATTCATTTTTGCTTTTACCGGTGTCTAGGATTTTTCAGCTTTGGGGTTATTGACTTTTTGTTATTATTGTTGTTGTTGAACAATCCTTTGAAAGGCTGTGCTAGTTTTAGGCTACATAGTAATATCGCTGGCTCCAGCCCTCTAGGTTTTAGTAGCTATCATAGCATGCCTTCTACACTCTGACAACCAAAAGTATCTTTGGTCATTGCCAACTGTCCCATAATGTTGGTACTGTGTTGCCCCAGATTGAAAAACACTATTTTAACTCAAAGGGACCAATTAAAAGTATTACTACTATGAGAACTCAAAAAGGTTGACAGTTGGAGTGATAGCTCAGTGGTTAAGAGCACTGGCTGTTCTTCCAGAGGACCTGGGTTCAATTCCCAGCACCCACACGGCAGCTGACAACTATCTGTGAGTCCTGTCCTGGGGATCTATTGCCCTCTTCTGGCCTCCATTTGCACTGCAAGCACATGATGCAGATACATATCTGTGAAATACCCGTACATGTAAAGATAAATACATAGAATTAAATAATCTTTCTTTAAAAATCAAGATTATGTTCAGGTTGTCCTTATGAAATGAAGACTTCTGTCTATAGAATGGTGACTTCTAACATTAGAGATTCTGAGGGAAATATGTTCAGGCTCCACTCTTTCCAATTTACAGTATGAACATAGTGGTAGAAATACTTTGTGGTCCACAAAAGAACTCATATGAAACTCACCTGTCTGGATGTGGATGTAGTTCAGTTGGTAGAGTGCCTGTCTAATATGCACAAAGTTCTGTTTTTTTACACTCTATAAACCGTATGTGCATACTTATAATCCTCAAACTTTGGAGATTAAGTCATCAAAAGCATCAGAAGTTCAAGGCCATCCTTGACTACATTCTGAATTTGAGATCAGTCTGGGTTACATGAGACAGTATTAGAAAAAAAAGGAGAAACGGAAGGGGAGAGAAGGAGGGAAGAAATGGGAGAGGAAAGAAAAGAGGTGGGGAGAGTCCTAACTTACCAATCTGTGTCGGCTTCAGCAGGGCAGTTCCTTGAAGTCTCTTCGTGACCACTGTTGGATTCTGCTCCTGAATCTGGGCAGTGTTTCTGATCCGGAGTGGTTTGGAGAACTGAAAGAAAACCCCCAAAGAATAGTCAGAAGTCAAAGGGCACAGCTAGAAGTGGCAGGGTTTCTGTTGCTTGCCTGTGCTCTGTAGCTCCTTTATGCTGGTTCTGACGCCTCCCCAGGCCATCTGCAGACTTCTAGGGTATGCCATTAAAACAAGTGTGTCGCACTCAGTGTTAGGTCCCAGCCCACAAATCAGATAAAATAGCTCACAGGAGCACAAGCTACCCTGTGGTATTAGATAGATACAGTGGGTATATCTCAGGACCCAGTAAGAGCACCACAGAAGAGCACCATGCTGTAGCTGAGTAACTCCTGGTTGTGGCTATCTGAATATGAGTAATATGAGCCATAAAGACGCAATCTTTCCAGGAGTGGTCCATTTCCACATTGTTATGGAAGGCAGTTAACTGATGAATTTCTTAACAGAGGGAACCACAAATACAGTCATTCTGGTGACGGTGGCAGCCATGACTAACCATTCACGGCTCTCTCTTCCACTAAGACTCACTTAGGCTTCAAGATGTTCAACACAGCACTTCATGTTCTCAGAGTATGGGTCCCCTACCAGCAGAGCAGCACCAGGAGGACATTTTGAGGAATGTGTGGGCCATGAGCTGTTTGGATCAAGCTCTCCTTGTTGAGGTGAGATGTACTGTTTCCACACAACGAGTCTTAGTGCTGGAGTTACATTGGAACCACACAGGGACATTTTAAACAGGCCTGATCCCTCCCTCAAGAGATTCTATACTGAACTTGGGTTGAGGCTGGTATCGATTAACAAGAGATTCCCAGATAATTTTAATATGTGTCCAGGGCTGAAAACCACAGTTCCTAGTCATTACTGACAATCAACCAGGGGACAGACTCCACCCCTATTTACTATTCTCATTTTAGAAAAGTCTAGAAACAACCAAACCAAAATAGGACCACCAAAGACAGCTGAAGTGGAAACTTTTGGAGAGTGTTTTGCTGGGGCAAAGATGTGAAGGAACGTTTCATTAAAGTGGACACGGGTGTGAAAGGCTAAGGCAGACTCGTGAAGGAACGTTTTGCTGAAGCAGACACAGGAGAGAGGATGTTCTGCTAAAGCAAGCATGTGAAAGGACACGTGAAGAAAGATTCTTTGTTAACATGCATGTATTGGTCAGCCTTACTACACTGTGTAGTTGAGCTGCATTTGTCACGATGCCAAAGAGAGAAGCACACCAAAAACCTTCTAGTGGTGTGCTGTAGTTCGTTGCCACTTCCAAGACCTCAGCAAACTGAGGCAAGACACGTGGAAGACATGTGGTGTTTGGAGGGTATAATGGAGATACGGAGACAGAGCTTGGCTTGCTGGTACGGCTGACTGTGTACTGCTTGTGGGTCTCTCAAAGGTCGCTGATCTTCGCTTCTCTAAGAGAGGCACAGCTGAGAACTTCTCCTGGTGTTCCTGTTGGTCCTTCCTGCTGACTCGAGCCAGGCTGAGGCCTGGCTCTCTGCTAGGTTGTGTCACCACTGTTGCTAACCTGACTCTACCAAACTGTATCCTGGAGATATTTGCAAGTAGATTGAGCTGCCACTGCCTGCTAACCTGTGAACTGAACTGCCAGTTTCCAAACAACACAGACGGGAGATGCTCCAAAGAACCATTCTAAATGGGTCCATTTCCCCTGTATCCTTTCTTTTCCACCACCTCTGATGGGTGGTGGGTTACAAGGAAGGTTAAAACATTTAAGAACCATTATTAAAAATAGGATTTGAAAAAAATTAAAGTTACAGACAACCTTTGATGTGGCCGTTGCAGCATATTGAGGTAGAAACCTAAGTTGACAACAGTTATGATACCGGGCATGGTGGTGCACACCTTTAATCCCAGCACTCAGGAGGTAAAGGCAAGTAGATCTCTATGAGTTTGAGGCCAGCCTGGTCTACATAGTGAGTTCCAGGACAGCCAGGGCTACACAGTGAGACCCAGTCTCAAAAAGAGCAAACAAAAAAGGAAAACCATTATGATGTCAAGATACACAACATGACAAAAATAGAGAAAAAGAAAGAAGTACATATTCAATTACTTTCCTCACGTCTGTTGGGGAAGGGGTGGCATACTGCTCCTGCTTTAGATTGCTAGCTTCTTCCCTTCAAAATGAATCTCTCTGTGTAGAACAAATGTAATTCTTTGAGTTATTTGTTGTGGATAGAACCATCTGTTGTTGTTATTATTGCTAATACACAAATGCCGGAAGGATAATGAGAGAAATTTAATGGAACATTATTACATTTTTATTATGACACAAAAAGTGCTATAACCAGTGAAAATGAAATTTAAAACAAAAGAAGGGAGAGAGTAAGTAGAAATAAAGAACTACAGTTGGGAGCCCTCCCTTCAGAAGCCCATCCCTGATTATTCACTGATTCCCTGCCTTGCCACCGACACTTTCTTCATTGATAAATTCCTCCAGTTGGGGTACCAGACATCTCCCCTTCTTCAAAGTCACTTGTCATGCTGAGGTAAACGCCATAAAAGCAGAAATTAACATGAAAAGGAAAGGAGAGCTTGTCCCCAGGCAGAGATGTGTGTCTTTTCTTCATTCTGAAGGAAAATTGCCTGACCTGGGCTGAGGTTGTAGCTCGGTGGTTAGAGTACTTGCCTGGCGAGCATGAAGCCCTGGGGTTGAGCTTCAGCAGTACACAGCGTGGATGTCTGTACCTGTAATCCCAGGACTCGGGAGGGAGAAACAGGAGGGTCGGAAGTTCAACATTTTTTTCAGCTACATAGTTGAGTTCTTATTTAGCCTGGAGTACATGAGATCCTGTCTCACAATCACACACAGACACACACACACACACACACACCATGATAGGAAAGAAAAGAATGGATGGACAAATGAATTGGGGGAGGGGAAATCTGACCTTGTGAATTTTGACCTTGTTCTTGGACCCAACTTAGGAGCACCGAGAGCCAGCTAAACTGCCTGTGTGGAGAGCTGGACTCTCAGGCCATCATTTGTATCTACTTGAAAATCTTAATTTTAGGGCTGGAGAGATGGCTCAGCGGTCAAGAGCACTGACAGCTCTCTCAGAGGTCCTGAGTTCAATTCCCAGCAACCACATGGTGGCTCGTAACCATCTGTAATGGGATTCAATGCCCTCTTCTGGTGTGTCTGAGAAAAACAACAGTGTACTCATATACATACAATAAATAAATCTTTAAAAAAAAAAAAAGAAAATCTTAATTTTAAAAAGGAACAATAACAGTTTAATAGCAATCCCCAAAGGCAAAAATCAAAAAGAAAGGCAGTAAGGATGGCAAGGGCCACAACCATGGCCAGAAACAGCAGCAGCCGCTTCCCCACGAGCTCAGCATGCACCTGGCTACTCTGCTTTGCTTTCCGATAGAAATTCACAGAATTTCTCCTCATGTAATTCAAGGGAAAACTTATTCCATGTTTCTCATTCATTTACACTTCAGTCATCAAAATATTGATTCTGAGAGTTATTTGAAGTATAAAAACCAAACAGAAAACTTAGAAAAATATTCCTAATAAAGTTTAGATGAAGTCGGCCCCTGCATTCCCAGCTTTGCCTATAGAACAGGGAGAGAGGGATCTGTCCATCTAAGGAGATGAGGAAGTCAAGATGATCAATCCCTCCAGTTCAAAGCAGGACCCCTGGCTGTAAAGTATTTAAGGGCACCCTGGCACAAGCTGGAATCACCTGGAAGCTCTCTGGCAAACGGATCCTCAAATGAGCAGAGGGGAGACACAGAAACAGGAAGCAGAGAACAAAAGAGAAACTAAGTCACCCATTTCGAGTGAGTGGGTCAGGTTCAAACATGCCCCAGTGACACATGGGAAATAAAGTAATGGACACGAACAACAGAAATGTTCGCTAAGTGCTGAGCTTGGGACTGTGCAGACAGCGTGGCTGAGGCTTCAGCAGACATGGGTCACCTGAGTATTTCCGGCTTAATGACCTAAAATGGTCCTGAATCACACTGAGCTCTGTGAACTGTGCAGTTCCCAGGAAGTCTGAGCTCAGGGTCTACTAAATCATCTTGAAGTAAAACGGGAAGGCATTTGACTGTCAAGGGCTTAAGGGAGGGTATTTGTATTAATTGTCAAGCTGATACCAATGGGCAGGATTACCTAGATCAGGTAGTCCTGCTGAGATCCTCTTAGTTGTCCTAACTGCTGTGAGGAGACCCAACCCGAGCTAGGGCAGCACTACTCCTCGGTTTTAAGCGCTGGACTGTCTAGGGTAGCAGCAGAAGCTAACTGAGCTTTGCATGTGTGCATTCTGTCTCTGTCAGTGGATGTGATGTGGCCAGCTGTGCCAAGCTCTTGCCAGTGAGTGTGACTTCCCAGAGGTGACAGACTGTAACCTGGAATTGCGACCTAGAATAAACTTTCTCTCCCTTGAGTTGCTCTTTGTTAGGACATTTTTTTTTCACAGCCACAGAAACAAAGCTAACACAGTGTTTCACACTCGAAGGGATACAGGACCAGGAGACATGGCTGGGTTACACAGAGAAGTTGTTGGGTGGTGACCAGAAGGTACACTCCTCTTAAAGACAAAAACAATAACACACATGCAAAGGCACAAGAGAAGCATGGACCACTGCATTAGCAAGCATAAGAAACACATATGCATGCACGCACATGTACATACTCACACATGCACACACAGATACACACACATGCATACACTCACACATGCATACACACATACACACACATGCACATACACAGACACACACATACACACAGAGAGATACACATACATGCACACACAGATACATATGCACACAGATACACACACTTGCACACACATACACACATATACACACTAATACATGCACGCATGCACACATGCACACGTGCACGCACACACACACAGATGTGGGCAGGGAGGATTTCCTCTCATAGATTCCAGTAAAAGCCACTTTGTAACACCTTGGTTTTGAACTCGTAACCTCCAGAACTGTGAAAGAATACAATTTTGTTGCCTTAAGTCAGCAGG